CGAGTCTGCTAATGACTTTACGGCTTCTTTATCTTTTTTCTTAAACATCTTTTTATTCTTTTTTTAATTAATATAACTATTATATTAATTATATTATTCTTTTTTTGATTTTATTTAGGTTAATTTCCAAGTTTTTATAAACCCAACATTTTATTTTCCTTTTCCTTTTTTCATTTTTCTTTTGGGGGAGAGAGTCGGATACCCTCCATCAATAATAAAAATGACGGAATTTTTTCACACACAAACACGCACGTAAAAATAATAATAGCAAACATAAATAAACTCATAATAGTATGTATATACTTATCGTCCTGATAAAGCAAAACCAAGTCTATGAAGCATTACTTGGGGGCTACTTAACGAAAGATAAAGCAAAATCGTACCGCCACATCCTCAGCCGGTACAGGAACTGGAGCTAACAACGGCAGTAGCTCCTCTGCATAGCATTGCCCAGGGATCGTGCAAGATCACCAAGGGAGACCAGCTCCCTCTAACATGCTCAACAACCTCGCGGCGCCAGGACACTCAGCCACTCGGTGAGGTTGTTCTACCTTTTTGCAACATATTTTGGGTTCTTTGGTACGCCAGTTAGCCCCTCTAAGCAATTTGACACGATTTTTAGTAATCGGCTTGATTGCACCAAGTGATCGACCTGATGAAAGATCGTCTCACTTAGCTTAAAGCGCTTAAGCATTGGCTCATTGACAAAAGGCACCGTCATAGTGGTTCATTCGCAAAAGGCACCGGCATACTGGTTCATTCGAAAAGGGCACCGACGTACAGGTTCAAAGCAACGGAAGCACCGACGTACAGGCATAGCAGGAGAAAAGTTCAAGCGAGCTTTTAAAGATCGACAAGCGGAGATCTTCGGTAATTTCCTCTGGAAAATTATCGCATCAAATGAGGATGGCTTCAAGCGAGGATATCTTCGACGGCATTCCCTAGCTTGTGGAGAGTAGTCACAAAAAACTGAAGGTAATTTCAAGCGAAGTTGTCTTCGACCGTGTTCCCTTAGACGTGGAATATTATCAATGCGGATGAAGATTGTTTCAAGAGAAATAATCTTCGATAGTATTCCCTTGGACGTGGAATATTATCAATGCGGATGAAGATTGTTTCAAGAGAAATAATCTTCGATAGTATTCCCTTGGACGTGGAATATTATCAATGCGGATGAAGATTGTTTCAAGCGAAATAATCTTCGATAGTATTCCCTTGGACGTGGAATATAATGAGGATTGTTTCAAGAGAAGCAATCTTCGATGGTATTCCCTTGGACGTGGAATATTATCAAAGCGGAGGAGGATCGTTTCAGGCGAAGCAATCTTCTATATTGGAAGCAGTTACAGGCGTAGCGGTTTTCAAGCGGGATAGCATTCTCTAGCTTGCAGGAGGTCATCAAAACAAGGATACAGCAGCAAATCGGTCACTTTCACAGACGTGTGCTCGACTGTGCAAGATACGCGTTTCTTAACTCTTTTATCTGTTTAACTAACGCTAGTTTTCAGGTATCGGCGTTACAAGAATGATTTAGGATCGCCGAACGTTCTGAATCATTCTCCGTCCCTATCGCTACTTTGACTTTTGTTTTCGAAACTTGCGTTTCTCCAAACTCAGTCAAAGTGGGGGCTTCTGTAGACACCCATTTGTGTCTCCCCAAAACTAAACCCGGTGATGAGTACCTTTCGCGTCGAATCATAATCGAATGAAGTGAAAGTGTGGAAAGTTTAGTGTTGCGGATAGTTTTAATTTCTTTTCTCTTCTCTTTGTTTTTGAAAACTTATTTTAAGAAAACAGCCAATCCAGTTTGGTTGATCCATGATATGGGTCCACTAGTAGTGTAGTTGGATGGGGCTTGACAAGAGCTTTCCAACGATATATTATAAGCCCAATTCCGATGAATATTGAGGAAGTTATGGCCAATTTACTAAACTGGGCTCGGTTTGAGCTTTATATGCGGCCCAATGATCTAGAGGAGGGCCTAATATGATTTATCATTCCTAATGCAATTAGGAATGGTTTTAGTCTTCTAGATTCTTCTAGAAGGTTCTTTTCATTCCTAATTCAATTAGCATTGATTAATTGACTTTTGTTGACTTTTCAGAGTTTTAATTAAAATCAAAGAGCATTTTTGAGAAAAATACGATTTTATCCTCATGTACGACAATTTTTATCTGATTTTAGGAAAACGCGTAATTTTCCAGATCAGCGCCAAACGCCAGCTGTAGCGCCTGGCGCTATGCTTGGCGCCTGGCCCTAGTGTTGGCGTCTGGCGCCAACAGCCAGCGTTGGCGCTGGTTCTGTTTTTTGTGCGCCAATGCTCTGTTTTGATATTTTATCTTTTTGGCTGATTTTCCCTATAAATAACGTCGTAAAAACTCCGTTTTCATTCACCTACAACCAGTTTTCATTCATCGATTTTCTCATTCTCTTTAATCATTCACCATCTTTCTCTCTTTTTCTAAACTTGCTTTTTACATACAAAATCCCGCATTCACAAGATCTAGAAACACCTAGCCAAGTTCGAAGTTACCTTCGCCTTAGGCGTGAAAGGTTTAATTTCTGAGGGTTTGGTCCCAAATCTCTCTTTCAATCATTTAATTTAATTGTTTTGTTTATTATTTTCCTTGAAATTACTAACGCGTGTATTTTGTTATTAGAAAGAGGTACGAGGCATCAAATTAAGTACTTTAATGGTTTTTATTGATGTTATGATGTAGAAATCATGTTTATGTTGTTATTTTGATTCCTAGTATCATGTCTAGGGTAATTTTAATATCAAGTATAATTAAAAGTATGATGCCTTCTATGTTCTTCCTAATATTTATGATTGTTAGTATCATACCTAGGATCTTGCTATTATTGTGCTTTAGCGTTGATATGATTATTTTAATCATGATTATTATTATTATTAATTATAATTGTTATTATGGTGATTATTTTTAATTATAATTATTATTATGATAATTTATTATGTTGCTTGATATTTATTGCTTGATCACATCTTTTATGCATGTTTAAAGGGAATTTGTACTTGTAATCACGCTTGATAATATATTAATAATCTTGTTTAGGGTTAATTATGATTATAATAAGTGATCGCCAATAATAGTTTTATTTGTGCATTAATATTCAACCAACATAGATAAACAGGTTTAGGGTTAATCCTAATGATTGCATGTTAGTAAAAAAGCGCACATGAATACGATCTGAACAAAGTAGAGGCCTATTATTAGGGCAGGTTCAATCTCTTTTAGGTTGGATTTTTTACCTTCATCCCCGAACCCTTATGTGGTTCAAGACCTTATGGAGTTGATGATCTCTTGGATTGTTAAGAGGTGAAACCTTCACCATGTGAACGGTTTACAAGTTCCTAAAACTTGTTGGCGACTCTTTTGCTCTATCTTCTTCCCTTTTGGACGCCACCGTACTTAAGTGTATGATCACAGTGGGGTTCAAGCAAGGGGATTAACGCTTGAAATTTATTCCCTACACATACATTTCAAATAATTGAACCAAAATATTCCCGCCTTGACCAAAATATTTCGGGAAATTTTAAAGATTAAATATTAGAAATTTCCCACTAGTTTTACGACTATAAAACTAACTCCCCCCTCCTTAAATGAAGAATAACAACTAAATATTACTTCCTAGTTCCCACAACTATGGGCAACCCACCCCATGAATGCACCTACCATTTTTACTCATCGCCATCCAAAAGGCCGAAACCCGAAAATGAAGTGTTTGTAATTTGTGGGAGCATAAAAGATCTAGCACTGGTGCATCTTCAAGCTGAATTGGGAATTCGCACGCTAAGGGCCAGGAGCAGAATGAATATGTTCAGCTCTCAACTTGCAACGATCGGAAGGATTGGTAACAACGCCGCAGAAATCCGATTCCATCCAGAGTACCCATTTCTTAGACCCTTCAAGATAAGAAATCCCCTCAAATTTAGGAAGGAGGCATATTGCATGTTACATTATATGTTTGATCTTTATAATGTTTGCTTCTTTTTTCAATTATCTACGCTTCAAAACTATGTTTATAAATTCACTTATTATGAGCACACTTATGGGCATATATCGACGTTCATGAATATATTTATGAATTTAGAGGATTGGGAGGTAGTTTTAAACTCGCTGCAGGAGGAACATGGTGATGATGCTTGGGCCTTGATGTCACTAAGAAGGGAGTTCTGTACTCTTCACCTTGATGATTTGAAAGAAAGAGAAGAGGTTCATGAGAATGCGAATGAAGAGGAGAAAAGAAAGCCTAAGGGAATACTTAATTGGCTTGAATTCGGAGATGAAGATTTTTGTGATGTGTTCAATGTTAATGAAGTGAAATATAAAGATTTTGTTACTATCATGTGCGACTTGAATGGAATCGAAACCTCATTGGCAAGCAGAATAGTGAGCAACCTTCCTTATGATAATAGCCATGACCCCCCAGCATACATTGAGAACATCAAAGATGCCTACGAAAACTATGGCTTAAAGCTTGAATGTCGTGTTAGGGGTAGTTCCGACTCCGGTCGTGAATCAGACGAGTACAACAATTCTGATGAAGATGACGAATGGTAGATGTTACAGAAGGGGGAACAACTTCTACATTAAAATCAAAGTAATTATTGATTTTGTTTAGACTTAAATGTAACCTTTTAATATAATTATTGTTATTTAAATATGTAATGTTATGGTTAGTATTAAATATGTATTGTTAATTTGTTACGGTTACGATTATGAACCTAATATATGTTTCGTAATTTAAATTATATGATGACCCAAAAACAAAAATTAGTTGACTTCAAAAATATCGTGTGTTAAGGGAAGACGTGTCCATATTACATGTGACCCTTGAATAGTTAGAGATGTGTTAGTAATTCGTGTACTAAGCGTAGTTGACGGTATTGGATTGATAAGACTCATAACCATAAAGATTAAAAACAATGTAGTTGTTGTAACTAAATAATGTACTTTCTTTTGCAATAAATACTACAAACTAAGTTATCCATGCATTTATATTTTTTTTAAAAAAAAAAAACTACATTAAAGTATCTCTCTAATACTCCCTTTTGCCAATACAACTATAACTCCACTTATCACTCCCTATATAAGGGAGTCACTATGCAATGTACTTCATCAATTACTTTACAAATTCCTCCATCTTTAAAAACGCCTACCCTTCTAAAAATATTTGACTCATTAGCTCCTTCTCCTAATCCAGACAAGTTCATGTATTCATCTGACGGCTCATCAGAGGAGGAATCACTTGATCTCACAGACGAGAGAGACGATTGTGTTGTCATAACTGGTAAGCCACTTACCACCAAAGTCAGTTTGTTAGTGAAAGGAGGGGATGTTGATGACAATGGGCAACCAATCGAGATGAGTGTTGACAACCGTTTACATACGGTTTTCTACGAGTACGCAGCTATGGTAGGCCTTCGTCCTAAGGACCTACGATTGTGGTGGAGGGGTAATCTTGTTACACCAGAAGACACTCCATTTAAACTTGGATTGTACATGTCCGAGGTTATTCTTGCGTATGACAAGGTACTACAAAATTTCTTTAAAATCGTAATCAGTTATATAATATGATGGATGGCCTTTTTTTCTTCCTTTAAAATAATTATACATGCTTTAGTAAGAATCAAAGTAAACGTCAAAATTTAAGGAGTAGTAGCAGCAGCATGTTTTAGTAGACAGCCCATTTCAATGCTACATTTCACAGCTTCATGTAAGTGTTGAAGTTAATGAACATCATTATTAGTAATATGGCAAATAATTACTCATGTATTGAAACTACATTGTCTATGTGCAGGAGGGCAAAGGAGTTCCTATTGATCCACCAGCACAGGAACCAATCAAGCAACAAAATAGTTATTACGGTATGCACTGTAGCATCAGGCCGTGAGTCTCATCGATTTTCTATTCGCAAAACAGCCCGTGTGCATGACCTATACATGAAATGGGGCTTAAGTCACAACGTCGACGCTCAACGTGTCCGTTTATGGGTCAATAGGGAGGACTTAAACGATGAGAAGACATTGGAAGAGGAGAATGTTCGAGATGGGGCTGTGGTTTGGGCTCACATTGAGCCTCGTGGTTTTAAAAGGAACGACCACATTAGGTTTAATGAGGCTTACTACAGATAAGCCTAAGATTTGATTAAGCCACAGTTGTACTTAAATTATAGCTGAAATTAGTATTGTGTACTACTAATGTAGATGGTTTAAAATAACATTGACTAAGAACCAATTAACTAGTAATGTATTATGAAGGTACTAATGTGTAAACTAAGAACCAGTTACTGTTCCCTTAAGCATAATATATTAAGAACCATGAACATGTTTTGGATATATATGCACTTTGAAGATGTGATGTACTTAAGTAAGTTCTTAACAAAATCAAAATTTCGTTGGGTTAAGTAAAAAGTGACTAAGATCGATCGAAATATCCCACTTTTTACTTGACCCAACAAATAACAGCCCAAGAACCAAAGTTCAGAACATAGCCCAACTTGATGAGACTAGAACAAATGCTGGCCCACATAAAATGGCCCTATACAATTGCAATCCATTAACTTAACCAAAAAAATTACCAAAATAGAAGTTAATAAGCAGGCAGGAGGAAGAAATACAGAACCCGGGGTGTAATTAGTTCCAGGACATCCTGTCTGGCTTCATTGAATTCTGACAGGAGGTCTTCAGCAAGCAGCCAGGACCTCTCTACCATCAAATCCTCAACCTAGCAAATCAGAAGCTCAGCTGTATTATTTTATACCTTAGTCAAAATTAATGCTTGAGGATATAGTTAACGCACTTACTGGAGGCATTTGTTTCAATATTTTAGAGGCGTTGCGCTTGATTGCAATAATCATGTGTACTCCGCAGCTATGACTGTAAAAAAAGTTCAACAGAAGAAAAACAAGTGTCTGAATCTGAAGAAGTTCACCAAAAGAAAAACAAGTGTCTGAAAGGGCAGAAGTTCATCAAATAAAAATCAGTACATAATGGACATGGAGAGCAACTCACATATCGCCTTGCTGAGCCATCTCTAGGGAGGTCCGAGGCCAATTAGTAATGGTTCCTATTGGCCAAGAAGGATCCATGCTTTGAAATGCAACATCCATGGCAATGGCCTGCAAGCCAATCAAATTAATTCGCAATTAGAGGGACATATGGTTGACCATTTGGTTGAGGATAAGATAATAGAGTGGTGCCCAATATTGAATGGATGTTGTACTCCTGAACCACATACCAGCTGAGAGACTTCTACACTCCTACTTTCAGCTGCCTTCTTGGTTTCAATTGAATCAATAACAACAATCTCCTCCCTGTTCATTGAAAATGCCACGCACCACCAATGTCCATCGAGTACGACCGGGACAAAAACCTGTCATTCAGATTAAACAATCCACTTACTTACCCTTTTTGTATAATTATCCACCTAACCTTTCCAGCTTCAAGTCCACAGCTAAACATTCCTAATACTGATTTTTTTTTTTTTATTTCTTAGAATTGATATCTATTTACAATGGAAAACCTAGCTCAAAATACACAATTTACTGTTATAATAATTAGTTGTTGTTTGGATGTCAAACACAAAATCCTCACCTTTCCTCATTTCCTATTTGAATCAGAATATACTTTACCAAAATTAAATAAATAAACCAAAACTGTGATTTCTTGCTTTACTAAATAAATAAACCAGAACCCCCCAAACTATTGAATTTCTTTCTCTGACAAGGAAGATAGGGTAAAGGGAATCACAAGAGACTCAAACTTATCATCATTGAAGTAATATTTTGAAACCTATGAAAATGAGTATCGGGAGCAGATGTTTTTCTTTCATACCATTAGGAAGCCCCAGCAACTAAGGATAAATGGTAACTATGCTAATAAAACTTTCCCTCACATGGACTAACTAGCCAAATGTATGATATTTGTAACCAAATTGTATGTTACTTGAAAATGGTATGGTTAGAGATTTCATACAGACAAATTAAAAGAGTTTTAATTGGAGGTTAGTAAAACCCTTTTATTGAATACACAAGAGAAGTAAACACAAGCAGCTTGGGAATGGGGTGTGATAATAAGAATGGATGTAGTTACCTAGTGACTTCAAAAAAACAAATTTGTCCACTAACTACATAAATGAAAGACCCTTTGAACAAAGATGCAGGCTGAAAGGGGAATTTACCGACAGCAAAGTGAAGGGGCGGATCCATAACTTACCACATTGACTTTGTTAGGGACCGTCTCCCTAAGTTGTTTGCAGTATGATTTCACTAACTTCTGTATTGCAAGCAAATGTCCATTACAATGCAATACCATCATCTACAACAAACCAAAACAAAGTAAGGAATAAGATGAATAACAATTCAAAACTTAAAATTTGTTTTCTTACAAATTCTTTTACTTACTCCGAAGGCAGGATCAAGCATGAAACGCCTACTCTTACCAACAAATTGCATCTCCCAAACCTTCTCATATATTTTAGCTGCAACCCTTACATACCGCATTGAATAATAACGTGTAAATTATGAATTTCCTTAGCACACAACATAACATATCATGGACTGAGACTAGAATACACATATACCTACCTAGCTAGAAATCTGCCCCATACAACTAGCAACCAAACCACATATACTGACGGGCGCACACTCCCCATCATATTTCAATTAGGCAATATCAGTCCTAAAAATAGAATAAAAATCATATCAAAAACTCAATGTTATGAAACAATTAAATAATCAATATTGTTAGACGACAAGTATAAGATGAGGACTCACTCCAAATTCCTAACTCGTCCATGACTAGATGAATGATCCATCACATACTGGACCAATGGTTCTCGAAACCGACGAATATACTTCGGTCGCCAGTGAATAACATAATCGACCGGCAATGTTGGAGGGCCAACAACCTTCCTCTGCCTCCTGCTGCGCTCGACTTTCCTCCTTAACATCTCCATCTGGATAACAGTCCTCTGATTTATCGGGGTAGTCGGTTCTTCTTCAGATTCATAAGGGACCTCATTAATCTCCGATTCATTAGACACTTCATTTGACTCTATCCTTACATTATCAGTACCAATAGTTCCATGTCCCTCAGTCAGCCGTACAGCATTCGGTGCACTTAAATCACCAATGCCTGCACCATTCTGTGCACCATTCTGTTGTGCACCAGAAGCAGCTTTTTTCCCCTCACCAACCCCACCAGTATCATCAATATTCCCCTCAACGCTTCTTGCACCAATCTCATTACCAACATGATTAGTCTTTCCCTCAACCATCCCATCATTGTCATTTCCCTCTACCATTTCACCACTATTCTCATTTCCCACCCCTTTAACCTCACATAGGATTTTCAAAACTGCATTGTCTGTCTTTTTCAAAACTGCATTGTCAGAAATACCTGCATTCCCATGATTATTATCCAACCCTGATCTACCCTCACTAACATTTACATCAACAAAATTATCATTTGCATCTGCAAACTCATTAAAGCTTGCATCATCATTGGTCAAGGTGTACTTGCTACCCCTGAACCCACAGCCTGAAGTGTCAACGTTCAATGGTTGCTCAAGTTCCATAATTGGTACACATGAAGTCACAGTCCACACCAAATCATTAACTTGTTCATGAATACCCCTACTTGAGTTAACCTCCTCACTATGAGTGTTGTTCTGACTCGCATTATCCATCAAAACATTATGAGGACCATCTTCCTCATCAACACCAAATTCCTTTTCATGGGACTTTGAGGCAAAGTCCCTAACCACACTTCCCTGATCATCAACAGGTTGGTGTTGATCTGGTACATCCATATTTGCTTCATTAGCAGGAGATTGATCACCATCTGCTTCATCCTTATCTTCACTCACATGCAGATCTTGCACTTGAGGACCTATAAAAGAACAATACATAAATATGAAGACAAACCTAATATTAAAACCTAATATTCAATGTGGACAAGTATATCACTACCTTCCCGTACTTGATCCAGTTCCTGTTGCCCTACATTTTTCTTCCGAACAAACGGACGGTCCGATATTGCCTTTCTTCTCTTCTTCACATTTTTTGTCAACATCTCCAAATCAATATCATCTACATCCATAGGTCCTTGTTAGACTTCAGGATCCTTAGTATTCAAAACACTCCTCAGAACATTAAGCACCTAAATCAAATCGTAACAAAAAATTTAAAAAAAAAAAAAACATAATAAATGAACTTTCCAAAAGTATAAGTACTGAAATAAATACAAAAACCCTTACATCTACACAGTCCTTTGAATTGTTCCCAACACATGGAAGGATATCATCTGCTTTCAAGGGATGTGGGCGCCCGTAGCTCACTAACAGACACTAAGCACAATATTGTAATCATCAGCTTTCAAAATTTTAATAAGTCAATTGATTGGAGTGAATAAACTCAGTCTTTAAAGCACTTACCCCACGACGTCCAAAATCACCCGAGTCAAACTCATCATCTGATATTGCCTTGTTCATTTCCTGTCTCGACCAAACTTTCATCCTTGGGAATACACCCCAATTCAACGGAGTCCGATTAAGGCGATCAAGATAAAAAATCTACATTTTCAGAATAAAATAATATTAAATAATTATAAACATTAATCATAAGCAATACTAACTATTTCCATTTAGCCAAACAATTCACTGCAATGATTAAGAATCTTATAGCCAAGAAAAGAGTACATCCCCCACTGCTTGTTGCTGAAGCATTACCATAGAATCTTTTACTAAACTGGCCTAGTGCTTTCATAAGCTGATCTAGGACAAACTCACACCAGTTATACTCAGATGCATTGTCCGCAACACTAGCTCCATGTAGGAATGACTTCTTCAAACGATGGCATGTCGATGAGCACAACACATTCAGAGCATACATTAGGAACACCTTCTTAAACTCACTTTCCTCAACCAAAGGACCCTCCAAATATTCAATCAAATTCTTCCTGGTAATACCTCTTGTACCGCATGGATATAATGTGCTATATGTATTGTACAATCTATCCTCGACTTCTTTGTCCACTACCTTGTCCGGAACAGCCCGTGGACCATATGGAATTCCCAATACCCAACACACTTGCACAGGGTCCAAAGGCAAAATTTTACCATCCACAGTCAACAAACACCTTCGGCTCACATCAACTCTAGTACACAACCAGAAAGCCAAAGTCCGTGGAAGTCCCTTACCAACACAATAAAACAAGCCGCCAAATCCCATTTCCTTAACTAAACGAATCTTCTTTTCGTCAAAGTTCCCTAGCACCCTTCCCATTGTCTCCACGGGACAGTTCACATTCATTGCCTACAAAGTACAAGTACCACAACCATTAATAAGCCTATTAACTATGCCACACAAAATTGCTATACTAATATCAAATCATAGGGATGAAGTATCCATAACATTATACCTTCTTATGACTCTTGAATGAAGCAATAACAGTTCCTGAATCCTTCACCCTCCCTCCTGCGATTTTCGAATTATCCTGCAAAATAATAAAAGTTAAAAACCCGGAAACAGCTGGGGGTTCCCAAATCAATGCTGGAAACAACCGAGGTTTGAAAAAACAATGAGGATAATTAACCAAAAAAAACTTCTAATCCTAAGTGTCCAAAAAAACTTCTAATCCTAAGTGTCCAAAAAAACTTCTAATCCTAAGTGTCCGAAAAAACTTCATAAGACTTCATAAGTGGAACTTAATATCAACTTCAGCACAGGGCATCGCTGCAAAACTAACCTAATCAAAATCAACCAACAGGTCTGCCCATACCTATACAACTTCTAATCCTAACTGTCCAAAAAAACTTCATAAAACATCAACATGAAATTAATTATAAATTAACCAAAAACTAGCAAAGCAAGTGAAAGCACATATAAGTGGAACTTAATATCAACTTCAGCACAGGGCATCGCAGCAAAATTAACCTAATCAAAATCGAGCAACAGGTCTGCCCATAGCTATACAACTTCTAATCCTAAATGTCCAAAACAACTTCATAAGACATCAACAATCAATTATAAATTAACCAAAAACTTGCAAATCAAGTGCAACCCAACTCCCAACAAATAATAAAAAAATAAAGCAATCACCAACTCATAAAATTACATAACGTATAAACAGCTATTATATAAACAAAGAGCAAAAAACCACTCACCACATATACCTGCGGATCTATTTTACGTTTCCTAGCCTTTGCTTTGCGTTCAGCCTTTTTCACCTACAATAACCAAAATAACCACAAATTACCACAATCACAATCACACATTATCACAAAATAACCTTTAATGAAACAAAAATCACAGTATATTGCATTACCTCTTCATCACTACTGTAGCATTAACTAACATCTCCACTAGACACAACACTATATGATTCATATACACTTTGAGAATCAGGAGCATAAGAATTATCCGATGCCAACAGTGATCCAGACGATAAAGACTCAGAATCAGAATACAAACCGCCAGACTCATCATAAAATCTCTTAATGGGTGTTTTGCTTTTGCTTTTCCTTTTGCTTTTGCTTCCTTTAACATTCCCTCCTTTAACATTAACCTTACCAACAACTCCCTTTTTCACACTATTACCTACATTAGCAACAAATTACACAACCATCAGCCCCACATGCATAAGCCATAGTAATATTGCAATCAAAACATCCCATTCTAACTAATACCAAAAGTAACCGCAATCAGTAAACACTATAGTGCAAGTTCAAGAATACAACTACCTCAAGGAATAAACTCAAATTTTAGGAATAAACATGCATTGACAAGCCACAAATTCCACAAATTCACAAAAGAAGTGCCTGAACCTAATAAGCTTTGAAATTTAAGCTAGGGAAAAGTTACTAATTATTCTAAAATAAAAATCCAAGGAAGGTTATCACCTTTGGCAAAATCAAATTATGAAACTCAGTGAAAGTTCCTAGTACTAGGCATGAACTCTGAAATTCCTCATGAAAACTTAGAAATGATTTTACTCTGATTTTCTGAAGTTCAAAAACAATATACCTTGTACATCATCAATAAGTTTCAATGAGTTTTAATCAGCAGACTGCACAACAACACTGACATAGGAAAGAAAAAAACCAAAAAGTTGGTTTCTAGTTACAAATATTTGAATCAAAGATATTTACATATATCACACAGTTATCATAAAAATGAACCTGAATAGATGGAACCAGATCGAGGAAGAAAGGGAGATCTAAATCTCAAACATCAAATAGATCATCAATGAAAAATGTCAAATACTCATGAGATTCATGACTGAAGCTCTCTCTATAATAATCTCTGCTATGCTCAACAATACACAATACCATAGGCAACTAGATAATAAAATTCACAGCCAATCATCAATATCCAACAAATACATATTCACATGCCCTTAGGAAAGCTCCATTATTCATATCTATATTGGTTTTCCTATTCTAAAATAAGTAATCTCACTGACAGGAAGGTTATCCATATTCAAAAATTTATCTAAAATAAAAATCCAAGACAGGTTAGAGTATCACCTTTCGCAAAATCAAATTATGAAACTCACTAAAAGTTCCTAGTACTAGGCATGAACTGTTAAACCATAATTCCTCAAGACCACTTAAAAATGATTTTCCCTACTTTCTCTGAAGCATTTTGCAGTATGATGCTTTAAGATGAAAAAGATTACAGCAATATTTGATTGACAAGCTCGGGAATAAACATGCATTGGCAGACCACTCCCAATGACTAAACATGCATTGCAAACCACAACCAATGAATAAACATGCATTGAAATATTACATTCAAAACATCCCATTTCCCACTAATTCATATCGAAATTCATGGAAAAATCAAACAAATCAATATTCAAGGCATATTTCAACCAAATCATTAACCCAATAATCTATTTATTGAATAATTTAGTCCAAACTAAAACCCTAAATTCAAGTAAAATGCTAAAATTACATACACTTACAAATGATATTCTGATTAATAACAAAATTGTAACAGGTCATTTCACAATACAAGCTTAATCAACCACATTCATGTCGCAAAACTCCTGACACATAAACCCTAATTCACGATTTTGATAATTCACTCACCTCTGTTCTTCATTGGAAAGGGTAAGTCTTTCTCGCTACACCACCACTCAAAAATCGGGCAACAACCGACGAGAAACCTGAACTGCGGTGAAGTTTAACTATGCTAAGCACAGAGCGGGAAGAAGAGAAGATGACCACAGTTGAAACGGGGAGCGAGAATTCGAACAGGTATCTCAGCCTTTTATATCTGTATATACATACGTACAAAGTACCTACATACTATCACTTAAATTTTTAAAAGTTATGAAATACCGATATTGCCCCTGTACTTGGACAAAGCGGCCACAGCACCTTGCTGGGCTGAGACTTGCTCCGCCACTGAGCATACTCCGAGTTTTCCATTGTAGCGGGTTTCTTCTTTTCCATTTCAAAAGCCTTGAATTTTCGAAGATTTCTCTCCTCCATTGAAGTAACTTCTGAGGCAAGATGTTCTTATTTTTATTTTAATTTCATGATATATGATTTCGTTTTACACTATCATTAATTTAATTGTCAGTACATTGAAGTTAGGGTTCTTCTACAGTGGATTATTCAACTATTGGTTATAATTACTAAACTAACGAAATATTTCAACGAGCAATTTTGCTGATTGAATTTTGCAATTTGCAATTTATGTGTCTATTCTTAAGCAAGAACAATTTCATGTGATTTTTCGAGCTTAATTTGATGATTTAGTTAAATTTGGATGCTAATGTGTTGCAGGCTTTTTAATGTCTGGACGAAACTATGAGAATGAACCCTTTCTCCTTGGGACCAGGGGGGATGGGCCTGCTCAGGAGATTTTTAGGAAAGCCTTGTTAAATCCCGAGCCGCCCGAAAAATTTGCCCTTCAAACTGTTCAGGAAGCCATTAAACCCCAGGTGATTCTTCTCCATAATATTTAATTGCAATTCTTGTTATTGGTGGTATCATATCTGTTATATTTGCTCTTTAAGTCATTGGTTTTGATAGAAATACTTTTTGAGCGTGTGTTTTTCTGTGTATTAGTAAATATTAGTTGTGTGCTTTGTTGAAGGAATACATATTTTCTCCATTGTGTATTGATTATTAGTTTCTTTCTATATTATTTGATGAAAAGAAGTTCAAATTGTTATTGCTTTGTGCCCTATGTGCTTGCAATGATTATTTTTATCCATTCACCCAAATTAATACTTCCTCCGTTTTTTTTACTTGCAAAAGTTTGACTTTTACACTATTCACATATATCACTTTAACTAGCTTTGGTGATTTATACATTAGGAAAAATATAGTCATGTGGGATATTATTTTACTCGTCTCGATTTATACTTTCATAATATCAAATTTTTATAATTTTTACACATTGGTGATTTTAAAGATATTAACGATTGAAATAGTGCATTGACAAGCATGAAAAGAGAAGTGTTGCAAGTATTAAGAAGCAGAGGAAGCATTTCATTTCATGTTGTTTGTTCTTGAATAGCTTTCGGTATGTTGTATTTTTATAATTTATACTCCTTTAAGTTACGCCGATCGAATTAATAGTCACTTATACTACTTTAGGATGTTTGGGTAAGTTGATACATATCCTAATATGTGGTTTATAAGTAGATTTCCCATTATGCCACCACACATATGAAGTGATGATGAGAGGATGGGAATTAGGAAATCACCCAGCTATTTAGTATAAAGAATGTCTTTGTAAAGTCTATTCATACACTTATTTTGAGGTATTGGAACAATGTATTTGGGTAAAAAGATTATTTGCAAATTGTTAAGGAGATCATCTTATAAGGATACAAGAGCAATATATTAGTTACCTCTTTTGTAGTATATTTGTAATACTTCCTCCATTTTTTGTAGTTGCTCCTTTTTTGTTTTTACACTGTTCATACAACTACTTTAACTATATATTGTGATTTAAAAGTAAGATGAAATATTGTCATTCATTATATCAATTTATTACTTAACGATGTTTTAAGATATGATGGTTGAGGTTAAGCATTGCAAAGCGTGAAAATGGAAAGGCTGTAACTAAAAAGAAATTAAAAACTGAGGAAGTGTATACCAACTTGTTGCTAAAACATTTAGAATGGGGAACTAGTTGACATTATTTGAATAAGGGGTTTAATTTGTCTTTGTTCAATAATTATTGCATCAACCAATTTGCTCTGGTTCTTGTTTGCCAATGCTTAGGCTGGACTGCTCGACTCAGTTCAGTGTTATGGTGCTGTCTTTCTGATCTATCAGTGTTTGTTAAATAGCATTGCATAGTAAATTTCATGTGCCATTGGCTTCTTTACGTTATGTCTGTTGGCTGATTTCAGTTGAATTTGTGTTTTTTCAGAGGCAAACAAAGTTAGTTCTGGATGAAAATCAGCTGCTAGAAAACATTCTACGGACATTACTCCAAGAGTTGGTGGTATGGATGCATTCTAATTTTCATTTGAACCATGTTAGCTCCTTTTTGTGGCTCTTATGACTGCAAATTCTACACTTTATCCTCAATTTTTTTTATTCAATTTTACATTAGTGTTTTACCAAATATTTGCAAAGCTAACTAGCAAACAACTAGGTCATAAATGATAGATAAAGTAATTGTTTGTTTTGATGAATTATGTCTCTGAAACTATTAGTTAAGTGTCAACATAGGTTATGGAATGACCCTTTATTCTTTCCCAGATACTTTCTGTGCACTGTTGGTATTCTGGTATTCCATATTCCATGGTGGACAGTGTGTTTTTGTTCCAAAAGGAATACAGAACTATCTTTGATGAAATTTATTAACACTGTATGTCATTTTATTTATTTTGTGAATATTACTTACATTGCATGTCTCTTTTTTTTTTTCTTCATTTCTTTTAAAAAATTATCCTTTCAAAAAAAATATTACAGAAGTTTGACTTGTATCTGGTGTCCTGATGCAGTCTTGTGCAGTACAGTCCGGAGAGCCAACCATGCATTATGGTCGTTCCATTGCTGAAGGAGTTCTTGCACAGGGTCAAATTCCTCGCCTTCTTGGTACAGCCACACTTTTTTCTAGAGATTATGATTTCAGATACTTGCATTCTTTTGTTGGAGTACTGTTCATGGCTGGAATTTGTTTGTATATTCTACACTAAAGTTTGTAAGTTTGTTAATTGTTGATGGATCTCTGCCTTTTGACTTTGTTATCTCCGACATGTTTGCAACATTTATGTATTGTGCTGCATTTTAGTCAACACATAGTTCAAAAAATGTGGTACCCATTTGGTGACATTTTGTGGTGGAGCAAATGCAACCCAAATTGACTTTTTGTTGGCTAGGAGAATGGTTAAGGGTCGTCTTGATTGTAAGGTGATACCAAGGGAAAGTGTAGTGACACAACTTAAACTTATAGTTCTTGATATTCGCATTAAAATAGGTGATCAGAGGATTTGAAGGCGAGCTTTTAAAGGGGCCAATGTTAAGGCTATGATAGGTAAAATTTATAAGATGTTAATTAGCGTAGGAAAATCGGAACTCAACTTGGATAGAAATGAAGGCTTGCATTTGTAGAGTTTCAAAGGAGGTTCTTTGGCAATCAAGTGAGAAATCACCAATGCACAAGGACACAATTTGGTGGAATGATGTTGTTGACTAGTGGTTAAGAAGGAGAGAGAATGCTACTGCTAGGATTCACATCAGAAAACAGAGCACACACAAACACACAGACGATTAGGAAGCTCAAATTGATATGATGTATTGATAATCTAAGTAATTATCCAATACAACTTTCCTTCTTTCGAGAGGAAGGATTCTCTCCAACAAACTCCACTCTATTCAATATTTTTCATAATCCTCCTTATTACAAAACTGCTATATATAAATGTAATAAGCTACTAGCATCTTCTACAGCTAAGGAGAATAACAAACTTATTTCCCAAAATTACCACATTACCCAAAACCCCATAACAAACTCATAACAGAATTCCAACTCTTGGGCTTCCTTCGAGCATATGTGATCAAAGGCCTAGGCTGACCCCTTGCAGCTACTTGGCCTTAGGAAAATGCTGAGATGAAGAAACTTTTGGAAAATGTGAGGAAGCTAAAGTTAAGGCAAGAGAAGTAGTTCGAGAGGCTTTAGCTTAGGTGTATAAAGATGTTTATGAAAGTTCAGGTTTGTGGTGAAAGGGATCTCTTATAGAGTTAAGAGAAGGCAAATGCTGGCAAGGACCTTTGTATGGTGAATTGTGTGAAGGACAAAAACATAGGAATTATTGTTCAAGCTGGCGGGACTAAGGATAGATGGAGGTAACACTTTGATTGAGTCATTAATTAAAGCCCTAGTGGGTGCTATAGGAGACAACTCTACTCTATGGAGGATCAAAGATGACTTGGGTTGAGAGAGTAAAAAAGGACATGGTGATAGTGAGCTTACTAGGTTGCATTAGATAGAAGTGAATGGAGGAGAATCTTCTTTGTGGATGATCACATGAAGTAGACTCTCAGTTCATGTAATTGACCTCATATCTTAGGAAAAAGGCTATGGTTTTGTCGTTGTATTTAAATGTCAGTGTACCCTGGAACTTTTAAAATTTGTCGAATATTTTTCGCCTTTGTAAATTGTAAGTCTTCTTTGCATGTGAATAAACAATTATTAAATAATCTCTTCAAGCCATATAGTTTTAAGGCTTTAGGAAAGTGTTGCCTTTGAATTTAATGAAAATGGAGTGGACTATCAACACTTTTTATCCTTATAGGAGGAATACAAATCAGTTTAAGCACTATTTTCTGCTTTTACATTAAGGGATCATGTAATTTGAGATAACTGCAGAAAGAAATAGGGCTTTAGCTTATGAGATAGGAAGGAACATTGAATTTTTTACTTAATGATTTGTTTTCTCATTGACCATGCCCGGTTTCTCATAAGTCGATATTTGTGTGTTCTTTCACAACAGATATTGTGTTGTATCTTTGTGAGAAGGAACATGTGGAGGGTGGCATGATATTTCAGCTGTTGGAAGATTTGACTGAAATGTCAACCATGAAGAATTGTAAAGACATTTTTGCTTACATAGAGAGCAAGCAAGACTTACTTGGAAAGGTATTTCTTATGGTGCACATTTGTAATTATGTTATGGGCTTTTATGTTATCATTTTGCATCACTGCTTAATTTTGTTTTGATGAATGTCGTGGTTTAATGAGCAGCAAGAACTGTTTGCTCGTGGCAAACTTGTGATGCTGAGGACATGTAATCAACTGCTTCGTCGTTTGTCAAAGGTTCTAATATCTGACTTATGCTGTATTACATCGTTCTTACATTTGTCACAACTCATATGCTTTGTATATGGTCATTGATTTTGTAGTATGAGATCGTTTAGGGGAAAAAGGGCTCTAGTTATTTTCTATTATGTGTGATTGTTGATTTATCTGTGACCTTAACTACTGCAAAGATGCAAACTGACTGAATGTACGTTCTTCTTGATGCTTCTGTTGTTCTTTGCCAGCGTTGATTTGTTATTCTCCATGCCTCTGCCACTTAGTTCTAGTATTGATTTGTTCTTATTCCACTATAGCATACTTGCCCCTGCAATTATTGCTGAACCATACAAGAACAGCTTTCTGAACAAAACTGTGAGTTGGATGTTCATTTAGAATAAACCTTGCCCCAAATTTAGCAGGTTGCCACTTGCCAAGCATATGATACAGGGATTTGGATAGCATAATTTGTCCCAAAGGGTTGTCTGGTTTCTAGTGGCTTGATTTTATTTTCCTTATTTTGTGTTGTAAGGATTCAAATGACAATACTTAAGTTCATGTGACTATGTTAGTAAATGAGACTTTTAGTGTTCAGCAATTAGTGAAGAAATCAGTGAATAAACTTGAATGTACTAGAGTTATTAGGAGTAGTTGAAATGCCAAAAGTTGTGACTCTTTATTGCATCACAATAATATAAAAGGCATCCCTCACCCCTATATAAAGTACTCTTGTAACTATCAATAAAATATAAGAAATCTTCCTACTTTCTTTCTATACACACTGTCCAGCCTTGCTCTGATATGATTAATAGTTGCCAATGCTGCAATGTACTTGGCTTCGGCTGTGGATTGAGCTACTACTTCTTGCTTCTTCGAAATCCATGAAAACACTCCAGATCCAAGTAAAAAAGCAAATGAAGATCAAGTATTATGCACTTGGAGAAGCTGAACAAGAGAAAGAAGTGAAGCTGATTCATTGTCCTACTGAGTTCCAGCTCGCTGACATTTAGACCAAGGGTCCAAGGCTTTACCAAAATGCAGATTTGAGTTTCTCGGACTCAAGCTTGGTATGATGGCAAAAAGTCTCAAGGAGAAATGTTAGTAAATGAGACTTTTAGTGTTCAGCAATTAGTGAAGAAATCAGTGAATAAACTTGAATGTACTAGAGTTATTAGGAGTAGTTGAAATGCCAAAAGTTGTGACTCTTCATTGCATCACAATACTGTAGAAGGCATCCCTCACCCCTATATAAAGCACTCTTGTACATATCAATAAAATATAAGAAATCTTCCTACTTTCTTTCTATACACACTATCCAGCCTTGCTCTAACAGACTAACTGGCAGCATTATTGTGTAGATTTGACGGTAAAAAGGTAAGGACATGGTGACTTAGTGAGTTTGTTAGCCATAAAATAATGTAGTGCTCTTGTAGTCTTGTTGCAGTCAAGCAAAGTATAATAATTTGCTTGATGTGAAGGAGACTATCTTAGTTTCATAAAGCACTTCTCAGGGTGAGCAATGAGGCACCACTCCTATCACTTTACCCAATGATGCAGTGAGAACAGTGTGAGTTGTACTTGAAGAGCATGAGACACAACTATGATGTCCACCCCCTTATTCTCTTATCTAGTTATATGTCTAATCCTTCTGTTTCATCTTCTATTTATTCTATTCTTCTTTAAAACCACTCCCATGTAAAAAATGAAATATAATGAAGCGATTCTTGCAATAAAAAAAATTGAGACCAAAATGATCTACTATCTCCGCTTCATATTACTCGCAACATTTGCAAAAAATGGCCGCTTCACATTACTTGCAACAAAGTGATTGCTTTTCTTTTTTAGTAAGTTTTTTTTGTGTGATCTTACAAAATTACCCTTACTTTTTTTAAACACCCTAATTAAAAAACTGATTTTATCTTATTAACTTAAACCCTAACATTGGTTAACTTAACTATTTCCACCAAAATCAATCCCTTTCTATCTAAATTCATCATCATCCCAGCCACCTTCATCATCCTTCATCTTCTTCATCATCCCCATTATTTTTCTCTCTTCATCATCAAATTTGTTCATCTTCTTCCTCATCCCCATTAGTTTTCTCTCTCCTCCTCCGACCCATTCTCAAGGGTTTTCAGATGTGAGGGTTTCGTGGGTTCGCTAGATCAGTGGGTTAGTGGGTTCGCTGGTTTTGTGGGTTGGTGGGTTCAAGGGTTTTTGTGGTTTTGTGGGTTTTTCAGATCTGTGGGTTTTTGTGGGTTGGTAGGTTTGTGGGTTTGGTTGGTGTTTTGTGCGGCTAGTGGTGGTTAGTTCAGTGTTTTGTGCGGCTGGGTTGTGGGTGGTTTCATTGGTGGTGGTGGTGGTGGGTGGTTTCGGTGCTGATCGTGGTGGTTGTGAGTGGTTTCGGAGCTGGTGGTGGTGGTGGGGGGTGGTTTCATGGTGGTTGTGGGTTAATTATTTTAATTTTTGTTAAATTTGTTTTTTCTTTTGTTTTTGGGTTGGATTAATACTCAAGTATATGCCCTTATTTTTCAATAACTACACTTAAGATCTTTTGCCTAGGAGTCTGCGCGCAGCATGTTTGTTGTGAGTAATCTGAAGCGGAGGTAGTATACGGTTTATTGCACAAAGTGTGCCTTATGTGTGTGCTATGCTCTCCTAGCCAAACCAGCTGCACAACAGATTCCTTGTGCATTTAAATAACTAAGTGATGGTTTGTTTTGTAAGCTAGATTTAGAATAGGCTTATGATCATGCTTCTTGGGACTTTTTAGATGTTAATTCTATAATTGGTACTTTTGTTTATATATATATATATATATATATATATATATATATATATATTTATATATATATATATAAAATATTTTGCAAGGGAGTGGGCTCATTTGAGTATTTTTACAACTTGGTTTTAGTGTTAGAGTATGGCAGCCAGCAAGTTTCTTTTCAAGCTCTTGTGGATTGTGCCAAGGAGATCCACTTTCTCCATTTCGTTTCACGTTGTGACTTGTGACGACATCTTAGAGTAGATTGGTGGCAAAAGACGTTGAGGATGGACTTTATGGTTTATTCTTCGGAAACAATGCTTCTCAACATCTCATCTTGCACATCTCATCTTTGGTGATGATACATAAAGGGTTTGCTGATCCCAGTCTTCCTGGTTGTCAAGGTTCCAAATTGAAGTTTTTAAGCTGATGTCTTTGGTTGTGGGGCGGAGAATTCTGTTATTTTCATCCTGTTTTGGTTTTCCTCTTATTGCTCTTTGAACTTTGAATTGCATTTCTTCTTGGGACCTTATTACTGAGAATTTCAAAAAAGACTTATCGTATGGAAACTAAAGCTTTTGTTTGGAAGAGTTAGATTAACTGATGAGAACTTGAGGAGTACCCTTTCTAACATGCTTATATACTTAATTTTCATGTTCACTACCATGGACATTGTGGGCCTTGTGGCTTCTTAGTAAAACAATGATTTGGTTTTCCTATGGGCTTATTCTAATAGGAGTATTCATTGGATAAAATGAGAATATGTGATCTAGTGTATGACGAATTAAGCCTTTAAGTGCGTAAGGTGAAGTGGCTTTGGAGATCTGAGAATGAAGATAATGCATTGTGGAAGAACATCATCAAGTTTGAAAACATTGGAGGAGCAAGAAGATGTCTTCTTCTCATGGAGGTCACATATGGATAAGCATTTTTGGAGGGTTGCATGTTTTTGGTTCCTTGGTCAATTGCAAGAGAAAGAGTGGTGCAAGGGGTCTTTTTTGGCATGTCATTTTGCGGGATTAACCTGAAAAATTCAATATCCAGCAGTATTCTTATTTGCTTTGTGCCTGTGTTTGAGGATGCTATTTCAAAAGGTTTTGTGCAACATGGTAGTCAGTAGCATGAAAATGTTTCTTTTTGGAGACTTTTAAATGATTGGAATGAAAATGTGCTTGTTTTCTTATTAAAATCTTTCTGCTGAGGAGATCAAGTTGGAGGAGAATAACAAATTGGTTTGGCAGCAATGCAGCATGGCAAGAGGCTCTTTTTCTATGTTTGTAATTACCTTTATAGGATTTGGATGCTGGTGTTCCCTGCCAATGATATTTGGAAGATTGAAGATACTCCTAAAGCTTAAATTTTTTTTCTTAGGCATTATTAAATAGAGGATTTTTCTCATTTAAAGCTATTTTAGTTTCACTTAATGACAAGAATGTTAACTACTGTTTACTCCTTTATGCCTGGGTTGCTTTTAATTGGCGTTTATCATTATCCTTGTTTGGGATGAGTTTGGTCCAGCCTTCTTCTGTGAAAGATGTTCGTGTGGATTGGAAAAGAGGATGCAAAAAGATCGGTTTGACGAAGAGTGGAAGATGGTTTTGTTGGCAATCTAGTGATGACTTGAAAGCAAGAAACCCACTAAACTATTGAGGGGTATAGGTTCCTTATATCTCGATTTTAAGCTCGCTTGCTCTCTCTTCTTTCTTATTTTAATATTAAAGCTTTTGTACATCCTTCAAAAAAGAATAAATGGTTCTTGTATAGCTCGTAAATAGTGTTCTGAATGATGCTCGACTTTTCTTGATTTTGTATATCAAATTCTTCATGATAGCTGGGGCATGAGTTTATCTGATCCTAGCCCTTATTCTGCACGTGACTTCCTTAACTGCTGTTTTTTGTCCCCCCCCCCCCTTCTTTTACTTTTATATAATCTGAACAATAAATACTTTTTTTTCCCTACTTTGACTTTTCTTACTTACCTTAAACTCTGTTTTATTTTCAATTGTTGTTGAATCTGACTATAAAAAAACGTGTTTGAGGATCTTTAGCTTCATAATTATCCTCTGTAAGATACAAATTAAAGAGTTCCTGGAGGCTTCAGCACCACATAAAAATACTTTAATTAGATTCTGTAAAGTTGGACACTGCTGAGAAATTTGCCATAACTTCTCTTGTTGATGTTTTTGAATATTGGCTGGTGATTTTTCCCTTTTTTGCTGTGCAGTGGTACTAAATGAACTAAATTTGAACTTTGAAGTAGCTAATTTTATCACGGATGAGAAGTGACTTCTTACAATTTATTGTGATGTTTAAACTATTGGAGCAGGCAAATGATGTTGTATTTTGTGGACGGATTCTTATGTTTCTGGCACATTTTTTCCCGCTGTCTGAGCGCTCAGGTTTGTTCTTGTCTGTTATATTGGACTCGGCACCATGGATTTATCTAATGTTCTTATTGATGTATACAGCTGTGAATATTAAGGGAGTCTTCAATACATCTAATGAAACAAAGTATGAGAAAGAAGCTCCAAATGGTATTCCCATACTCAGAAGCACTAAACCTTTATGTTCTAAGTACGCAGAAGCTGATGGATTTTTCCTCCCTTCATTTATTTTTAGGCATTTCTATTGATTTCAACTTCTACAAGACGTTCTGGAGTTTGCAGGTGAATACTGAATAGTATATGATTTATAGCTTTCTTGAGCAATAATACAATTTCTTTGTTGGCTGAGACATTCTTTGCTCACCTTGTGAATATAATTTCTTTTGGTATAAGTCTTTTTTGAGCCATGTAGCTGAACTATTATCTGAAAAATTATGTCAAAGATGCAGCTAAAAGTTGTGAGGCAAGTCTAACTCAGGGAGATTAGGACAAATTGTTAGCACTACCCTGGTGCATTAAATAAAATCGCCTGCTAACCACAACAAAGTTTAAGTTGCCTGAATTGCTGAAAAAAAAAAACGTATTAGAACTGAAAAAAAAAAAAACCCAAAGTCTGAACCCCCTAAATTGCTGAAAAAACGTACCAGAACTGAAAGTGAAGACTGGCATCATCATGAAACTTTAGTATGCCAATGAGATAATTTAATTGGAAAACATTGACTTGAAGTTGAATTATAAGATTGACATGATTGGAGATGTTTTTGTAGGCGATAATTTTCAATTCAGGAGGTGGCTTCGAGTATCTGATTTTCTTATAGGCGTCTTTTTCTTAGGATTTTTTCCTTATTTGAGCCACAAAAGTATTAATGTGATTTCAATTTTATGATGTTTAGATTGGGGAGGTTTATTTATTGTTCCTGAGGTTTTTCATTGATATATAACAAAAACCTATCGTCAATGCATTGGTTGGCAATGACTGTGAAAAACTGGAGTATAAGATTAGAAAATCTGAAGTCAGACATGAACTATGACATGGACTATCTTTTCCATGGCCTTTATACTAGGACTTGATACCTTATTAGCATTTTACCCTCCATCCTTTTGTACAAAGACATCTTGTCTTCAGTTTTGTGCTTTCTTTTTCTCTCTAATATTGAGTATTATTTAAGGAATCTAAGTCAAAGACTTGCAAGACACTCCATCCTGTTAAAACAGTTGTTTCCAAGTTATACAAACTACTATTGAGGCAGATTGCCGAGTGGATAATGATTCTGGGAACTTTGCTATGAATGCGTATATCAGGATGGATTAAGCGAATATCTTTTTGAAAGAAAATTGTTAACAATGATATATACTAGAATAAATTTGGAGTAGTCTTGAGACAGGACTTTTGATTCAATAAGGACGAGATTTTATTACTGTGAATGTTCATTGAAGTGTACATTCGTCCAAATTTTGTTGGAATATCAGCCAAGCCATCTGTTATTTGGGTTTCAGATTTCAAACAACAGAATCTAATTTTAATTCATTAAGTTAACAAATTCAATCACCTTATACCTAAGTGCCTAACTAAACCTTTTGTCCAACCAACTTGTTTTCTATGTAAACACATGCCGCTTTTCGTTGTCAAAGAGCTGCCATGGAATGTCCCAAAACACATCCTACTTCCCATACTATTTTCATGGACTAGCTTCTTTACCTGCATTCGTTTGCCATGCGGGAACCCATATATAGTTAGTGCCACCCTCAGGCACTGTTCACCTGCATGCTGCTGCTTAAAATGATGCAATATGATGGATTAAAAGTTAAAGCCAGTTCAAGTTTAAGAATGTTCACAATTAAATTTTAAGTTTAAGGACTGTACAATTTACCTTACTCCGGATAACTGATTTGATAATTTTTTTGTGTACATCTTTCTTCTTTGTTGATTTTTTTTACCATGCTTTTCAGGAGTACTTCTGTAATCCTCCATCCTTGACTGTTAATCCTACGAAGTGGCACAGATTTACATCAAGCTTATCGGTAGTCCATGCATATTCAAATTATTTTGTTTTGAAGTTTATATTATTTTTATTGCAAAAATTCAATTAATGTTGGGGTATCATTTGTGCATCTCTTTTGACTTTTCTTTTAGGTTGTTCTAAATACCTTTGAGGCTCAACCCTTAAGTGATGAGGAGGGAAATGCTAATAATCTTGAAGAAGAGGGGGCAGCTGTCAATATTAAATATCTGACCAGTAGTAAACTGATGGGCTTGGAGGTTAATTTCTTCACCAAGTTTCAAATTATATGGACTAGAGGTTAACATCTTTTGCTGTGATTAAATGATTTGAATGTTTCTTTGCTGCAGCTGAAAGATCCTAGTTTCTGGCGTCATGTTCTTGTACAATGCTTGATATTGTTTGACTATGTCAAGGTAGGTAGGTACTTACTTTTGGCCTGCTTTGACGGCCATTCAAAAACGCGTTTGTGAGATACAAAGCTTTTATCCATTGGCATTTTTAATGAAGTATGGAGGAAGATCAGTATGATTTTCTTGAATGAATGAAGTATTAGCTGTGTAGATATCTCATGTAGTTTACATAATGTTTGGAGCCTTCTCTCCCCCCCCCCCCCCATTTTCTGTTATTTGGAGAGGAGGTGGGGTGTTAGGAGGGGGAGGAGAAAGTTTGCAACTTTGCATTGTTTGTACAATTCTAAAGGACTCGAGATAAGTCAATGCTCATTTACTGGTTGCTGATGATCTACTGGCTATGGGCTCTGAAATATGAAATGTTCATATTGCTGAAAGATTGGTTTATTGCTAGTTTCAGCATATATCTATTTCCCATCTGCCTTGTTAAATGTATAAGCATTCATCTTTCTGCACTTCACCAGTCACTGTATTGCTTTAATTTTGTCAAACCTTCCTCTCTTTTTTTCCAATTCTTTTGTGAAATAAGCATTTCATTTTTATTTGCATCACTAATTTAAATACCCTTTTGTACATAATACATATCTTTATGTGGGTCATCATTTAATTAATTGACTATTTGTATCCCTTTTTAATCATCTTTAAATCTTTTCAGTTAACTCTTTATGTGTTAGAATAAGCTTTGAATGTTAAGGGGCACTATTTGGATCTTCATGTGGATAGAATATTATGATATATGGGCTTTAGATTGTAGGAAACAATCTCTAGGCAACTAGATGCACTTTGAGGTTGGATTTTGTATGTATTCCCCATTCTCAAAGTGTCTAAGGTCTAACTGGGTTGGATCACCCTTGATAGTTGGGCCCTGGTAGGCATGTTTCATATTTAAAGAATATATTACTTTTTATACCTTCTATTTTAGGTGAGAACAATTGTATCTTTCAAAATATAGATGGTTTGCAGACACAGAGAGTGTTGAGGGAAGCTTTGGCTCAAAGTCCATATTGCATCTACATTTTTGGTACCATTTTGATTTTTGTGCAATGTTTGGTCATCTTGATAATCTTTCTTATGGGTAAAAAAGCATGGGCAATAGATGAAGATTGTGATTCATATGTGGATTTCAGTGCTTTGGTTTAGTACTATCCTGACTACTTACATTTTGTTTTCTCTTACTTTTTTGCAGCCCCCTGGAAAGAGTGATAAAGATTTACCATCAGAAGCAATGGTTAAGTATCTGTTGATGCTTGATAGTTTTTGTAGTCTTTCCTTCTCTTCTATAGTTCTAATCATTGATATCTGCAAATGTTGTTGTCATACGAGGATTGTAGATGGGAAATGGAATCATACTTCCTACGTTGTTTTTTAATGCAACACTTTGACTGCTACACTATTCACATACTATACCATAGATGACTTATAAGAAAAACATAATCATGTGAGGTCTTATAAAAAATATGTATAAATTTTATAAATTTTACTTTTTTGAAGAAAATGTATTATTTGCAACATATGTATTGGTAATCATGAAAGTCAAACTGTGGTAAATTAAATGAAACAGAGGAATTATTTCAAAAATTACTATGGCTGTTTGGGTTGCTTCAGTACATGAAATAGAATGGGGAGTGGAAATAGGGTCTGTCGAATGAGGAACAGACTTTCTCTCCAGATTTTACTACTTTCCATTTCATTGTAAGAACTTTTATCCCTCCAAAAATGAGGAGAAATAGAGAAGCTGTTTGGGGTTAGCTTAATAAAATGAAATTAAATCAAGTAAAGCAATAAAAATGATCTTAGGATGTCTGGTTCTATGATAGCAGAAAATCTTCTGGATGCTTAAGTACCATACCAAGGATGTTTATACATAACCTTAATTGAAGTGGTACCGTGCTGCTGAACTTTACTCATCTTTTGCTAAATTTATTAAGATTTTATTCATTTATTAATTTTCTTGTCAGTCTCACCGTAAAAAATTTACTTGCTCTTTTTATTTATTTTTTGATTAATTTATTTAATTAATTTATTTTATATGTAGTAGTTCCATTTTGGCTGTGCAAGTTTTCAATGCACAATTTTTGACCCTTTATATTGTGAATTGTCAACTAGTAAATTTTTTAAAAAGTTGTTATATGTATGTCATAAAGGGTTTCGACTTCCCAGTTCGATGCTATCTTTGCAATATTTATGCTGCCATTTTATGTAAAATTAGCACTGATGTTGCTTCTTAATTGATGTTAATGATTTTATAAATTTTTTGCTGATTGTAGAAAGAAGAAATAAAGACTTACGAGGAGCGTGTAAAGAATCTTCTTGAAGTGACGCCTCCTAGAGGGAAAGAGTTTCTCTGTAGTATTGAGCATATTCTAGAACGTGAAAAAAATTGGGTAAGCATACCATAACCCTCTGGAAAATCTTGTATTTTTTAATTTTTATTTTAATGAATCGAGTGAGGCACCTATAAGGAGGCTTAAATATTTGCTAGGTGATGGGATTGTGATAGGTAAGGGAAGAATTAAGAAAACTTAGAGGAGGGTGATTACATTTATATCAGTCTTTAGAGATTTGAGGAAATATATGGTGTTGGATATGGCAAAGTGGAGGGGGAAAGTCTAACGCCTAGGATATATGCTTAATAAATTTATTTAATTCTAGGTTTTTTTTTTCCTCTCTTTTCCTTTTTCTTTTTCTATTTTATAATGACCTAAACTCGTTATTTTATGCATCTCCATTTATTTCTTATCTCAAGGTTTTTTCAATTTTCATTTTATTTTTAATTTTTACTTTCATGATTTACTCTCTTTTATTCCCCAAAGTCTTTTTAATTACTATTGCAAATTTTATATCCATTATTTTGGTTTCATTTTATACTTCTAGTTCCCTTGCTCACTACGTTTTCTCTTGTTTTCTTCTACTTTCATTTTATTACTTGTTTTTCTTTGTTGCACATTTTACGGATAGTTCCTCGTGACAATTTATGTTAGTCCTGACCCTAATCATTTAAGGACTAAGACATTGTTAATGATGATAAAGTCATTTAAATGAGGAGGTTTTTTTTTTTATATTTTACTTTGAGTTTGCAGCCTCACATAGGAATGGCAATGGATTAGATTTGGGTCAGATGGGGTTAAATCCGAATCCAATCATTTTATAATCGGATTGTAGATTTGGGTCCAAATTCGGATCTGAATATGATTGATTCAAGTCCAAATCCGACTCACATTTTAAGGGTACGAATCCGGTCGGTTTATTCGAAAATCCGGATTGATCCGAGTGCATTTTTTTAGAATAATGTGTGATATACTTATAATTCTTGTATTGCCTCTAATAATTTTTTTACATCATAATAGTGCGTAAAAGATTCTAGAAAAACCTAGGATTTAAAATCTAAACATACGTATGTTAATTATAAATTAACTTTGCTAATAACAAACAAGAAATCATCCCAAGATATAAATTGCTACTAGCTTATCCTCATACATCAACTAAGTATCTTTTAAAGTGTCTTTCAATACGTATTTGTACTCAGTCGGACTTCGCGCAGGGTCCAAGTCCGATCCGCCTCCTATTCGGATTTGGATCTATTTTGTTGTATTTGGATTTTGGAATATTTTTAGACGGATTCAAATCGTTTTTTTTTCTTCGGGCCGGGTTAGGTTCAAATCAAACTCGGATTGAATTGTTATCCCTAGCCTCACAGCCAAACTGCCGTTCCCACGTTCAGCAACATTTGGAGGGGGCAAATGTTCAGAGGTCGAAATGTATGTCACCTATGTGATAATCTCTTAAAAAAAGAGTTTGTTCATATCTATTTTTCTTCCAGGTTTGGTGGAAGCGTGATGGTTGCCCGCCATTTGAAAAACAACAGCTGGAGAAGAAGGTAGATGGTACAAAAAAACGGTAAGAAATTATCTTGAGTGTGATAAATTTTTATGTTCCATCCTAGAGCATGGATCACTGGCTAAATTTTTGTTACGATCAACCAAATTGTGGTCATCTTGATAGATTTTCAGTATCTGTGAAGATATTATGTGCATTTGTTTTCTTGTGACAAGGGGAAGCACTTGTTAATAAAACTGCTCTGATTTAGGTTTTTTTGTTGCAGTTTATGACTATAGATACATTGTTTACAATAGTACATCCTCTGTGTTTTTTACATGACCCACTAGATTTAGGCACACATATCAAGGAAGGGTGGAAAAGAATGCTAAACACAATTTTACCCCAGTCCACTAGCTCTTCCAACTAACCCCTTAACCCCTTCCCCAATACCAACATTACTGCCAAAACCACCTACATCGCCAGGTCCGCCATTAGAGCCACCTACTCCACCATCTAGGCCATTGAAAAATAGTGCATTTCTTCACTGTCCGGTCACCGCCAAAGAAGAGAAACAAGAGGAGAGAAACAAGACCCACCCTCCTACAATCACCGTCACCTATGTTCACCGGACTCGGCTGAAATCCCAAAGTGTCCGTGTCGACACAACACGACGCGGACACAGAATTCGTGTCAGATTCGGCTATTTGCACTCGGACACTTTAGGGCTGTATGCGAAATTTTCTTCGACTCCATTGAAACCAGAGAGTGAAAAGGAAAGAGGAGGAGGAGAGAGAGAAAGGCAGGAAGAGGAAATGAGTGGGCTGTCAGAAAGGTAGGGGGTAGGGTAATGGGTATAGGACAGATGTCATTTTCAATACCACTTGTTTTTCTTTTGACTTTTTGACTACTAACTTTAACCAAAATTACTTTTATCATTTTATGTGTTACATTACCCAATATTTACAGCAGTAAAAAATTCATTTTAGAGAAAGTACTAGAATAATTATAACAAGAAATAGTAATCATATAATTATTATTACAAGAATATGATATAAAAATTTAATTTTTAAAATTTATGAGTATTAAAATATTTTGTAATGTATAATTTTTTTTGCAAAAAATAAAAGTGCCGTGTCTCCGCACCCGTGTCCAAATATAGGACAGAGTCCCCGTGTCCTAAAATTTTGGAAATTGACGAATCGGACACTTGGACACGTGTCCGTGTCAGACACACATACCCGAGTCCATGTAACATAGACCGTCACACACGAGCAATTTTCTACAAAATCAAAAGCTTGGAGGTCGAGTTTGGTTATAATGGTTTAAGATCTGGAACCTTCGACCACCGTGACTTCTTTTTTTGGTAACTTTTGTACACTATAGGGTAGAGGACTGCGTGAAAGGAGGAGGCTGGATGTTAGTAGCGGAGTAGAGGAGAGATAAAGGTGGCGGTTGATGTTGAGGTGGTTTTTTGTAGGTATGGTGGAGCTGGTGAAGGTGGCTGCCATGGAATGGAGATTTACTTCTTTATTTATTTATTTTTATATTATATCTCCCTCATCTCATGGTCCCCACTATTTTTTTTTATTTTTTATTTTATTTTTCTCTCCCCTCTCACATATCTTGCTTTTAACTAAACTAATAACTATAATTTTTTTTCCACAACAAACCTAATGCACACAATGTTTTACTACATTCAACTCATCCTCCTAAAACTTTTTGTTGGTCAAACCGATGCACTTAAATAAAAACAGTAATTTTTATTTGTTGAGAAAGTTACTGTATCTTTCAGAAATTAGATCAAGTTACTTTGGGCTTTTCTGATGGGTTTATGCTTATTTTTTAATCTAAGTGGTTAATTTTGGCTATACTTTAAAATGTTTGAAATATTCTGTCCCTGCAGTCGACCAAGGTGGAGATTAGGGAACAAAGAATTATCTCAGCTGTGGAAATGGGCTGATCAGAATCCGGTCTGTTTGTTACCCATAAATCTAGCATAATGTTGCAGAGTGTTATATTGCTGGTTTATTCTTTTTGTCTGATTTTTGCTATAATTGAATCTGCATCTTCTTTACAGAATGCTCTCACTGATCCAGAGCGAGTTAAGACTCCCGCTGTCACAGATTATTGGAAACCAATGGCTGATGATGTAAGCTCTCTCTCTATATATATATATTTCTATGTATTTAAAGGTAATATGAATATTACTTCTGTTGCATAAGTGATGAATATTGATCTGTGATAACAGATGGATCCGTCCGCTGGTATAGAAGCTGAGTACCATCACAAAAACAATAAGGTAGCTTACAATTCTCGTGTGATGAGCTAGTTGAGATTAAAATACTACATGTTTTTAGTTTCTGTTGACTGATAGATTAAGCACATAAGTCATAATTTATAGAGTTACGGGTTTATTAACTCTGAAATCGATATTATTAGACTAATGAGAGTGCCTTTAGTTTCAGTATTGTCTTTTGACTTGTCTCTTTAAATTATATATGTAATCTATATATCTAATTGACAATCTTTTTTTCAGAGCTCCGACAAACCTGCCTGTTATTTACAGTACAAATAAAATTATAGTTGACTTCATACTACTGACTTATGAAAATGCCAGCTATTAATCAGTATATTTTAGTCAAGCCTTTGCCAGCAAATCCCTGAATATACTCAAATGGTCACCCTCATATGTGATTTGCAAATTGCCCTTTTTGACATGATGACCAACTTAGGATATACTTTCTCCATTTCTTTTTAGTTGACACATTTAAATTTGGGCATTATACACACAAGTTAATTAGACTTCTATTTGTGATTTATTCTTAAGAAAAAACAGTCATGTGGGGTGTTATTAGATTCGTCTAAAAATGTCTATTTCCCAAACTTTTGTTTATATGCGTTGGAAAATGTGAAAATGAAATGTGTCAACTAAAAAGATATGAAGGAAGTATGCGCAATGTGCCCATCCTATTCCCAGAAAATACAAGATGGAACGTGAAGCGAGGTCCATTTGCTTAGTGATGCACTGATGCATGAGCATCATTTTTATATTCGATGAGAATATCTTAATATCAATTTGGTGGTAATGAATTGTGAACCCATTTACAAAGGAGAGAGAAAAAGAGAATATAGAAAGAGAAACCCATTTACAAAGGAGAGAAAAAGGCTCAAGGCTCCGGGCACTTATTCAAGTAACTCCTTCGATTTTCTTTTCTCAAAATTTTCCATATTTTAATTGTTAATATGGAAATTTTAACTTTTTTTAGTCACTGATTTTTTGGCTTCACTAAATTTCAAAGGTTGGTCGCTTCATTTGATGAGTGTTGAAGGTGGAGACTGAGATGGACATGTGGAAGAAATTGAGAATTTTTTTTTCCAATGAATTTGTAGTCAAGTGTGGGAGATGAAGTCATGTAAAGTTCATATATTGTTGATGATGTTGGAGAATTTTGAAGATATAAAAAATGATTGATATTATTCATCTTGATTTTGGATTCGGGAAATCAAAGATGACGGTAGATGGGTGGTTGGGAGTGTGCCTGTAAAAGAGGAGAGGCGATATGGAGGAGTTAAAGGGAGTAATGGAGAGAGAGTGTGGGTCTATTATGGGGAGGAGAGAGATGGAAATTGAGGGTAAATTTTACATTTATCAATATAACTTCTACTCAAAATAGAAACGTATAAACTTAAAAAAAAAAAAAAAAAAAAAAAAAAATTCACAAAAAGGTATATGTGTCAACTAAAAAACCAACGGAGGTAGTATAAAAAGCTACACATCAATTTGTATTGCAATATGGTTACAATTTCTTACATTATAACAATTTTGGAAAATCCGATAAGAATAATCCCGTCTTAGGAAACTTCCCTGAACAATAGGTTTCCAATATTGTCACATGGGTGAACTTATGATGGGTAAAATGAATATTCTGTTGACTCACCTTTACCACAAACCCTAGAAAATTAAAAAAAGCTTTCTTCATATGTTGTAGGTAGATGGTGGAGGGTAAGGCTAATAGGCATGTAAAAGAAGAGAAGGGGGGGGGGGGGGGGTAGGTAGAGATTTTAACTAATTGAAGACAAACCGAACATGAACTCCATCTATTGTTAGAGCACTTATGTGACAGCATAAAACACTTGGGATAATTTTGAGGGTTTGTCTAACTTTGGATTATTTTTCTTTTGTGGACTAAACTTGGGATTATCGTTGTGTTTTAACAATTTTGTGACCTCAAACTCCCAAAAACAAAAAAATAAATCCTTTAAACTTTGGCTCACAAATCATGATCATGATGTGAATCATTTCCAAAAATTTATAATTCACACTTGTGAATGGTTTACAACCTTGGCCATGATAGGAAACATGTATAATCAAGATAATGCCATGGCTTTCTTGATAGCTCGTAATCTAATCATAGCCAGACAGTTATTAAAAAAGTATTAGGGTTCTAGTTCATGTAGCTTCTTGATATAGGGAATTGCTTTTGTTGTAATTATCTTTTGATGACTTTATATAAGTTGACTGTTATTCCTCTTGTGGACCTTGGGCTTTGGGTAAAATCCTTTTTTTTTTTCTTTTTACTTATATTTTATCCTCAGGGGAAATAATGGTCTCTTGACTTCATTAATCCTTGCTTTGTGCTATCTTTCATTTACCTCCATGAAGGCATGAAGCAAACAAAATATAACCCTAAAATGTCATGTGGTGAATAAATTGGACGTATTATGTACCTTATAGTTTAGCCATGGAGTAATTTTGTCACTTGTGGTTCATTAGTAAAGGATTGGTTAGAGCATGGATTCCTTAAGTATTGTAACAAAGTGTCGTAGTGTTCATTAATTTGGCATACTGATTATTCATTTGTTTGTGCAGGTTTATTGTTGGAAAGGTCTCCGTTTTTCTGCGCGGCAGGACTTGGAAGATTTTTCTAGGGTATGGTTAATAGCCTTTTATTTATGTATTCAGAGATTAAAACCATCTTTGTAAATAAAAATGAACCCAATATGTTTCATTTGTAGTTCACTGAATTTGGCATTGAAGGGGTTGTTCCCCTGGAACTCATGCCTCCTGAAGTAAGGTCCAAGTATCAGGCAAAGCCAAATGACAAGTCTAAACGTGTGAAGAAAGATGAAACTAAGGGTTCTGTACCTCCATCTGAAGAAAATCAGGTATTTTGACTTGCATTATTTTTAAGGAAAAATGGAAACTAATAAACCCACCTTTGCTCCATCTTCCCTAAACAATCTCACCTTTTGATTATTCTAAAACAATCCCACCTTTTACCCTAATCTTCTTTTAACAGTCCTTTTGACCTTTAACCGGTTAAACTGGTTTTTTTTTTTTCTCAAGAGTCTCTCTCCTCTCACCATGGCCACCAGTCCACCACCTACACATCTTGCCACCACCTCCATCCTGTGCCGCCTGAATCACCCAACCTCAAAAATCCCAGCCCTGCTGCTTGCTGCCCGAATCCCCACTCCCAACTCCTCCCCAATTCCCTACCCCCACCTCACACAAATCACCACACACCTCACGCAACTCACCCCAACCACACAAATAAACACTCGCCACCATAACCACCGAGATCCAGCCTCCCCAGCAGTGCCACTGCCTACAATCACCTCACAGCAGCCCACGCGATTTCAATTCACCCTCCAACCGCAATCCGCAACCCCACACCGAAGTGTAATACCAATTTCTCTTTTTTAATTCCTAATTGTTGTATTTACTTGTTTAGTCGCTGACTAATTTATGTTTTTGGTTTCATTTAGAGTATTTGGGTTGTTTGTGATTATTTTCAGAACAAATACAAAGTTGAAGTTGTATTATTTTGGAAATCGTATACTTTAAGCTAATAAATTAATGTCAATTATGATATACCAAAGATGTAGGTGCTGGTGATGAATTTGATATTAATCCTGCAATTGAATTTTGATGGATTCTTAATGGTAGTGGACTAGTGATTGTGATAGTGTACTTATTGCTAGTCAATTTCGTTATTAGATGATTTTTCCTATCAAAATGAACGAACTCACATGTTAAAGTGAAATGAAAAGAAGTTAGAGGTGAGGATTGGGGTGGGGCTTCCTGCCGGCGAGGAAGGGGAAAGCAGGGCTGGGTTGTTCATGCGGGATGGGGAGGGAAAGGGGGTGGCCATTCATCCCAGGGCAGCACAAGGGGGTGGGGGTGCGGTGGTTGATTGGTCATTCAGGCCATACGTGGGACCAGGTTGGGGTTGTTTTTTTTCTTTTATTTTATTTTTTTTACAAAAAATGTAATAGACCTGTTAAATAGCAACATGTGGCAACTAACTTAGGAAAACAGGTTACCAAAACTATCCAACAGGTCAGGGATTGTTAGAAGAAGATTAGGGTAAAAGGTGGGATTATTTTGGAATAATCAAAAGGTGGGATTGTTAAGAGAAGATAGAGCAAATGTGGGATTATTAATTTCTATTTTTCCTATTTTTAATATGCTTGGGGTTCAGTATGTACTTGTAGTACTTCATATGTTGGTTGAAATAGGGAATACATATTTTGTGGAAATTATTTATGGAACAATTTATGTCCCGATGTCACATATTGAAGTAAAGTTATTATGGTTTGTTTTATATGTATAATACTTGGAATTAGACTAATAACGCACCCGTCTGTGCAATCACCTATTTAATTTGTACAACAATTGCTATGAACATATGACATTTCCTGATTTCCTGTAATATTTATATCCAGATGTTTTCTGAGTTGTAACTTTCTGGTACTCCTTGTATATTATTAAATCTTTTTTTAAATGTTTCCAAAATCATTTAGACTTTAAACTCTGTAAGTGAGATGGATGGCGAAGGTGGCCAAAATGATCTTGATGCCCCAGCAGCTGCAATGGACCTTGATTCAACACCTATTACTGGAAATAATTCTCAAGCTGGGACCCCGACACCAGATGATTTTCTTAAGCAAAGTTCTGAATCCCCAGATGCACAAGAAGCTGGAGAACTTGACGCTGAAGCTGATCCTGAGCCAGGGTTAATTGATGGAGAGACAGATGCTGATGTTGATCTAGACGCAGTAGGTTGATTTTGCATATCTGGATGCTAGATACTCGGGACGTATACTGGAACTGCAGTGACTGTTCTCACATCCAAAATTAAAGAAGCTAGAATGACTTGTTACATTCATTATTCAGAGAGCTTTATCAAGCAGAATGGAGCATGTAATTTAATTTATTTATTTTCTTTTTCGGCTTTGCTTCCATTATGAGTTTTAACTTAACTAGTTTCTCTGCACACTATATTTTTGCTTTGAGATACCATTTTAATACTATACAAGAGGGTAAAGAAAGCTCATTTGTATATCTTGAAATATGTAACCCCAACCTTTTTGATTTTGTCACGTCTTTTATTTAATAGCTTTGTATTGTACCAGCTGAAAAATAGAACAGATACACAATGTTATTGTTCTCTAAAGATATTAGTAATGTCTTCAATTATTAGAGGATTTAATGGTCCTTTTGTACTTGGATTTTTTATCATGCCGATTTTTGAAATCTAGGTTTACTACCTTAGATTCATCCAATGTGACGAACAGACGCCCTTGCTTTTACTTAACATCTATTGACAACATACTATCATAGGTGGATCTATGAAGGGGCCTGGGTGGCACCGGCCTTCCCAAATTTTTTATTTTTTTATTTAAATGTGTGTAAATTTATGGGTTAAATACAATTTTAATGCAATAAATAATATTAAATTAGCTTTGTCATAGTGGTAATGCATTGAGTTTGTACTAAAAGTCTTAGGTTCAAGCCTTTATACAAGCATTTTTTTTTTTTTTTTACTTCTGTATAGGGTGTGTTTCTGTGTTATTTACATTCTATAATTTTTTATTTTTAGTCATAAATTTTGGACATAATTATCCTTTTTTGCAAATTAAATACTCATTCCTCACTATTCCATGAGCAATTGTACCATTTGCAATATTTTAATATAATTGTACTTTCAAGCATTAAACTAATTTCAATGCATCTCTACTTTATATAATTCCCTAATAACCTGCATATAATTCCAAACTTTAAAAGCAAAAGGGAATGGAGGAAGAAATAAATGATACTAAAAATGACATAAACTGTATAGAAAATGGCTAATCGTTGTGAATAATTGTTGCAAATAATATTACATGGAGGTAATATTAGTGAATTTCAATTGTCAGATTTTACAGTGGTATGTTTAAATGGGATAATGAGTAGAAATTCTCACTGAAAAGATCGGCCTTGATCTCGGCTAAAGCTAGATGAGTTGAGCTTACTGATGTATGAAATCTGGATAATTGACCTTGGACACAATTACAAGTATGCTAATCTATTAAAGTTCCTAGATTACTGTCTAAATTTTGTTGATCAACCAAATTCATTAAAATAAAAGCTCGTTATATTCATTTACAAGAATAAAAGGTCAGTTGATGCTCTATTCTTAATTATTCAGTTTCAACATTACATTTTCTTATTGATTTTAATTTAAAGTATTTGGTTTATCAAATAGATTGAGTGATTAGAACTTTCACTTGATTTTGAGAACTTCAAATGTCAAAAGCAGTAAAGCTCAAATCAAGTTTATGAGAAGAGACATTTGTGATAAACAAGTTATCTATGAGCCATTAACAAAATATGAACATGACCTCAGTTAAAAGACTTGACAGCTTGCCTTTAATTTACATGAACATGGTAGTACTCGGGCTTGGTTCTTTTACTCCCAACTCTTCTAATCATTAAAGGAGTTTTTTAATTAAGTTTCTTACATTTCATCATATCACATAATCGATTATTATAACAAAAAAGCACAATCAAGACATTCTTCAATACTCTCAGCATATATGATATATGCAAATCAGCTTTAATTTATTCAAATGAAGCATATATTCAGAATATTACTGTAATTAATTCTTTAATAATGAAATGACCCATACATTTCTACTCATTCCGTCCCCGAAAGAACGACCTATTTGGCCTAATTTTAGTCCAAAAAAGAATGACGCATTAGCACTAAAATACCCACCAATTTGCAATAATATTTGTGCAAATTTAACTTCTCCGTATATAATTTTGTTTCCATGTACTTTTATTACTATCTCTCTACTTTTTTGTAAACCCCATGTAAATTGTAAATTTAACTTTTTAATATACTTTTACTTCTTTTTATTTAACTTTGTTAATACCCGCAAAATCAACCCAAAGGATCATTCTTTCGGGGACGGAGGGAGTAATATAAATTTTCGGCATTGCCCTAATTAACGCCGTACCATAATAAGCTCTTGTTCAATGATTTCCACTGTACCACAATAGACAATCTATAAAGTATGAACTCACAAAAACAATAAAATCTACAAAATCATAATTTGTAAGTTGAACTACAAAAAATTAGAGACCAAATAATCAATTGACTAGCATATTTTTGCTGGTTGTTGTACACAGCTATTTTGTAGCAGGAAATCTGTGAATTCATCTCTTGACCTCTTTCTACTTCGTATTGCACAACATCGTTCATTACCTTCACCAAAAACCGAATTCAAGAAAATCGTGTCGAGTATTTACCTCACATCCCTCGTACCAAACACCACCTCGTCTTCAACCTCAAAATCAACATCATAAAATTTATCATGTACCATCTTTAGTACACCAAAAACCCTAGCAAGTTCCGTGTCGATTTCCTCCTCTTGTTGTTCCTTAATTGGAAAAAACTCGTAACGATTAATTTTAACAAGATTTTCAGTACAAAAATCTCCCCAAATATTTTTGGTATCATCCACAATTAAAACAACCCGTTCGTGTGACAACACCACGTCCATCCTCTTTTGCCTATACTTTGTACAATCTTGCTTAGCAATGACCCACGAAAGCCTCGGAAACCCGGCTTTAGACTCAAGTAACCCACGCACTTCTTGTGCATAAACCTTATCAGCCATAGTATAGATAGACAAATCAAACATCGAACTAACTTGTTTGATAAATTCACGTACACCCGGCCTTAACTTCACGTATCGACAACTTAACATATTGTACACATCTTTTGTACACGTTAAACGTTGTTTCTCCTCCAAAGTAACGTTCTTGGTTAATCTTGAGTCAATTAACGTGTGATCCAAGTCAAGTACTAAGTGAAGCTTCTTGGATTGTAACAAGTGTCGTAAATTATCATCTCGAACACGGTCGACTTCTTCGAGGGTGAGAGCTAAATTGGGGTGAATGTAGCTTAATGGTGTAGTGATGAGACCATTGCCGCAAGCAATGATGGGTAGGTTGCATAATGTGCATTTTTTGTCAAGAAATGATGGATGAAAGCATAGAAAACTATCGTTAAACTCAAAATCCATTGATTTATTTTTCTATAATTCCATATTTTTTCGATTTTGTAAATGATTTTTCTTGTTTTAATTTTTTTTATTGGCAGGATTTCTCTTGATTGTTTTTGAAAGGGTAGGGTTTTGGTTGAATTGAGTTTTTCGTTTAGGGTTTACAGAAATAAGGGTTTGCCGTTTGTTGCCCTTTTATTAGCTCTCGATTTTATTTTTAAAAAAAAAAAATTATTTTTCTTATTATTTTTTATATAGTTTGGGCCCAAGCCGTGTTTTTTTATTTCTTTTTGTTTTTTAATAAGTGTACTTGTACTGCTTAAATTTTATAGAGAAAACACCCTTAAAAAAATAAATTAAATGCTAGTAAAGAAATACGGAGTAAATTTTATCTTCAACCAAAAAAATAATAAAAAAAAAAAAAAAAAAGTCAAATGTTTCCCAAGAGAAATAAATAAATTAACAAATACAAAAGAGCACTTTTTTCTAATGAATGCTACTAAAACATCCAATTTTTAGATTACAATTGGTTTTATAATTATTTTCATTTTTATGTATGTTTCCACTTTACCGTCCATGGCAGCAAACGGGTGAACAACATTTTTTTTAATTTTTAAATTTTTTATTTTAATTATTAAGGAGTACTGTATTATTTTTGAAACTGATTTAGCTTAAAATTGATTTAGATTTTAAAAAAGGAAATCTTAGCTTTGCTTCAAGTGGTTGTTTTTTGTTCTAAGAAACACTACTTCAAGTGGTGATGCATGTTGTAATAGTTTATTGGTTTTGCTTTTAGACTCTATTCATTTTACCTTACAACAAATAATGTTTAAAAGCAACTCCAATGGCACCAATTAGCTTGCCATGTAACTTAAACTTTTAAACTAATAGTCATTTTAACTTATTTGAGCTTCAATGGCTAGCTATTAGCTTACTATTTAAATTAACCACACCCCTTTAATTAATTTATGTTTTTTACTTTCATTTTATTTATTCTAATTTGTTTTATTTTAACAAGTTTTCCCTCAAGCTAATTGCATTTTTTAGCTCCAATGGTCAAGCTAGTAGCTAGGGATTATATAATATTGCAAGCAAGTCCCTAGCTACAACCATTGGAGTTGCTCTAATATAAATAATTTTGTTTTAGTAAAAATAATTTTAGCTCAGTAAAAATTAGTAAATGTGAAAATAAATATAATAGGAATCAGTTAAAATAATTTCAGTTTATTAAAACAATATATGTTCAGCAAAAATAATTTCAATTCAATAATTTTATTTTAGCATAAATAATAGGGCCTAAAAAAGAGGGCAATGCATCTTTTTAAAGGGTAATGTTATATGTAGCCCTAAGGGTTATAAATAAGCATTAAATATACTCTTGAAAATTGTATAAAATTAGGAATTCATAACAAAAACACGCGTAAATCAGTGTTATTAGTGTTTATATTTTGATGATTTTTTAACTTTTTACGATTTTCAAGTGTAAATTTAATGCTTCTATGTATGTATAACATTTTCCATTTAAAAAAAAAAACTAGAAAATGTGGTTTTCCACCAAAATTATTAAAATTAAAAAATTTCGTGAATATGTGTTAAACTCAAGAACAATTGGAAAAAACGGCTTAGTCTTTCGTATTCTATTAATCACAAATATATACCTCATACAATAGAATACCTAACTTGCCTAAAACTCCTAAACAAGATAAACTTTCCAAATATACAATATTAACATAATTAACAAACCAAACTCTAATAATATGAGCTACTTGTTTGAAGTCTTTTTCCATTTCTAGAATTCTAGGTAACAGCAAGAAAGAATACACTTCCAACTTTCCAAGCATGGGTATTTGATCGATGAAATGCTTGGTATCACTATTATGGATATCTAGTTTAAAACTCTTTTCCAATCTTTCGTTTCTTTGCCTTTTCCTTTATCGTTTGCCCTATTAGAATTAGTGTTGGTTGATTCCTTCCGGCCTTTTTTGTTCGCTTGCTTGTTGGCAAGCTCTATACCGACTTTGGCTATTTGAGGCAAATTCGAAAGCATTTGGTCTCGCTAGCTATGCTAGCTTGAAAGGTATGGCTAGCTTGTTTTTGGTAAGGTATTACCTGCTGTCGCATTCTTCCTTTGCGCTAGTGGACAGTAAATTGGAAGCTTGTTAAAAAAAAAAAAGATAATATAGGTGAAATCGGATTATATTGCATTATTTAGGGAAATAGTTCCAAATAAATATGAAGTACGAAGTAGTAAATAATACTCCGTAAACTCTTTCAACATCCTAAACATTTAATACATATAGATTTGTAAAATTCCTTTTTAGTAGATTGAACTTGTTTTAACTGAAATCAAATAATTTTTGTTGAACTCAAATAATTTTTACTAATACTTCATTATTTTTACTAACTAAAACTTATCATTCGGATTCACTATTATATTTGTTTTTTTAAAAAATACAGATTTTACTGATAAAAACTCATTTCTACTTAACCAAAATCTATACTTAGGTCTTGTTTTCTTTACCTTAAAAAAATAATATTAAGTAAAAATAATTTCAGTTCAGTAAAAATAAGTTCAGTTCAGTAAAATTAATTTCAGTTCAGTAAAAATAGTTTCAGTTCAGTAAAAATAAGTTTAGTTCAGTAAAATTCAGTTTTCTTAAAGAACAATTATAATAGAAAATCAGTAAAAATAATTTCAGTTGAGTAAAAATAATTTAAGTTCAGTAAAAATAGTTTCAGTTCAGTAAAAATAAGTTTAGTTCAGTAAAATTCAGTTTTCTTAAAGAACAATTATAATAGAAAATCAGTAAAAATAATTTCAGTTGAGTAAAAATAATTTAAGTTCAGTAAAAATAATTTCAGTTCATTAAATTAAGTTCAGTTCAATAAAAATAAGTTCAGTTCAGTAAAAATAATTTCAGTTCAGCAAAATTAAGGTGAATCAAACAGGGCCTTAGTATTTAAAAACACAAACCACACATTACACATGTACCACATGTCATCACAAATCACTCATATGCCACATGCCACCTTCTTTATCAAAAAATAAAGTTCATTTCTTTATGCATTCTGTAACTTGCAAATTTAAGTAAGGAAATTAAGTGTTTCAACTACACCAAAATAAAGTCGTAGTCTTTTCATCTCCTAAAATTAAAATAAAGTAATAGTAAAAAAAAAAAAAAAAGTTGAGCTAATTAGTTCACATTATATAAATATATAATACCTTTGTTACATATTAGTTGCATCTTTGGGTATTATTTGTGAGAGATAAAATATTCCAAAGTTTCAACTAATATGTAACGGAGGTAATATATAAAATACAATGAAACAATGCTGCTCATATAACACAAATAAGCAACACATTACAAGAAAAATATTCTAGGTAATAACCCGTGCATGGAACGGGCCAGAAGGCTAGTTATATGTAACAATCCACTCAACTAGACTATTGCTCGGGCTAATAACTCATTACAATAAAATTTTAAAATAATAAATTTTAGGTAGAATAGAGGAGTAAATTGTATTCTAATTGTTTAAGGTGAACATGGAACTACCAAAGAATTGGTTTATGTGGAGAGATTAAATCCTATGATTGTTCGAGAACATTATTGGGGAATGACGAATCAATCTAATGTTTTATTAATAAAATCAAGCAGAAATCATCGGATGCATTACTGTAAAAAAGGCGACATTTGAAAGGTCAGTTCTACTGTCTTTACTAGTCAAAGTCTGTAAGAACAACACTACACTAGGCTCTAAAAGTGAAAATTTCACAGCGTCAGAATATGATAATACATACAAACATGCAAGCGGACTGATAAACGACGCAGCCTGCATTTCTGAGGACATTTTCAGTGCAGTATAATCCATTGGCATTTTGCACTTCGAGATATAATTACTAATCTCATCTTAATGTTGGTGTGGCGCATTTGGTGGCCTTTGATCTGTCATTGTCTTTTTTCAAGAATAATACACCAATTCGATTTATCAAAGAAGCGATCCACAATCACAGCATTGCTTATTCCAGAAACTAAGCTGCAAATTCATCAAATTGAAGAAATTGGTCAGTTACTGAGAAATAGTGAGAAAATTACACCTGGGAACGAAACAGTTTGGAAAATGTATCAATTAGGGAAGCAGGGAATCCGGTAAAAAAATGAGAATGGAGCAATTTATATATAATTGACATGTATAATTACAATTTTCATAATAGGCTAAAATTCGTTCTGAAAGATACTTATCAAAGAATATTAACACCAACAGCATACAATGATCCAAACACCTGTGCTAAAAGAAAACGGCTCCATAATGCTTAGGCAAGCTGGAATTTCAAATTCATAACCAACATCGTTATAAGGATTCAAAGCAACAGAGAAATAGTCTCTGAAAGATTGACATACTAAAAGGCAGACTTTTTCTGTCTGTCAAAAATTCAAAAGTGCAAAAGCATGCAATGAAACATGTAGCCATAAATTAAATACTGATGTATATGGGTGGAAACAAGGAGTCCATGGCAAACAAACTCAAATGGAGCCACAACAAGAACTGGTAAAGCCAGTGAAGCACTTTTACATACTGAGAAAAGAATACTAAAAGGATACAGGATTACAGCCAAGAAATTTGTCGAGACGCAATATAGAACCACAAATGAAACCATATGGAATCAAAAGGCAAGTGACAGAATAAAGTCTTACAACTTCAATAGAAATTACTCCTTCCTCAAAAACTTCTAAAAAAGTTTTGTATTCCGTAATATCTAAATCCAGGTCAGTAAGGTTTTAAGCACATCCAATGATTTCAATTATGATTCGGAACCCAACATTTGAAGCGCCAAGTGGCCCATATTCAACCATGAGTCAGAACTCAGAACCCAAAATTAATGTGCGTAAAAACTAAAACATCCTGAGCAGTTGATAACGATTAGCTTTGCTCAGTTTTCTAAGCTCAAATTATAGGTATATTTTGTAGGATAATCCTGCAATTTGGTGAGCATAGCTATAGCTTAAGACGTAATTTAACAA